CTCCTCACCCCACCTCTCTAAGAAAGAGACCCCGTGCCCCATGGGGGGCCGCCTCCGTCCTCCAGCACCTGATCTCCCGTCGGGCGGAGTGGCTTTTGTCCTGTGCACGGGAGGCAGCCACCGAGCTTTCTTACGGACACAGAGCAACACACCCCGGGAAAACTCCAGCTGAGTGCTTTGCTCGTTATTTACAGTTATGTGAAACTAGATCACGTGGCAGGTGATGGGCACAGACGAGGCTAGAGGAAAACTCGTGCAGGGGGGAGGTGGCCTGTTGCATCACTGGTGGGTGGTGGCAGCTACCTGGGGGTCAGGACCCAGGCGGCTGCTGAGCAGAGTTCAGGAGGGGACGGGGGCACAGTTGTTATTGGAGACCAAACAAGGACAGCCTCCTGCTCCTGTGACCAAGGTGACTTACCTTATTATCTTTCCGATCTTGCCCTACACAAGCAGGCACAACAGACCCAACCTGTCTCTCTACCTTGCACGGGAAGCAGGAACGAGGGTTCCTCCTTCCCCGATGGTCAAAGGGGTCGTGCTGCCTTCCCACCTCTCCCCTTGGTGAGCAGGGTGAACGCGGGGCGAGGAGAGCGCTGCCCAGACTCCACAGGGGCCCCCCGCGTGGAAGCCCCTGTCTCCGCCGAGTGACAGGACGGGATCTTGGAAAATCCCCAAGGCAGCCCTTTCCCTGACCGGCTCTCAACAGCTGTCATGTGACCCGGTCCCCGCTGCTCGGGGCTGGCCTGGAGAGTCCCCTGAGACCCACGTGGGACTCGGGACAGGGAACGGGCTCCTGCAGCTCCGTCCTGCAGGTGACGCTGTTTCACCTGGTGAGCAACTTCTGGGCGCACCCCTGACCTTGGAAACTCAGAGGTGAGTGAGTCAAGGTCCCTGCCGTCTGAGCCCACAGTCTCGAAGCGAGAAATAAGACCAGGGGTCAAGGGACGTGGGCACAGCGGCAAGGCCGTGACTGGCACAAAGAATCGGCAGCAGCGGGACAGGCAGGTTAGACCAGAGGACGCGTCTGACAGACGGAAGGACTTGCACAACGGAATATGAAGAAGCCCCGTCCTGGAGGGTCTCTGTGGGCAAATGTGGAGTCAGCCGGGCGGGGTACTGAGCTCTGCCCTCTGACCACGGGTGGGATTTTTGAACCGAGACGTCACATTGATGAAAGATACTCTTCTACGGAGGAGCCTGGGAGAAGGAGGCTGCCGGAGGGAGGGCCGTGTGATCAAAGGGGATTCTGTAGAAAGAGGATCTACGTGTTTCCACTCCGGCTAGTCAAGGCCTAATAAAAACCAGGTTTTTCGGGGAACGTAAACAGGGAAACGTGGTGTTCCTCCTATGCCTTGTCCCTGGAGAAGCCACAATCACAGATAAGTCCTGGGTGGTTTTTAGGGGGAGAGGGAACATCCTCCCGGAAGCTCAGCAAAGGGCAGGTGTTTTACTGGGGCAACTGACTCGGTACCAGTGAAACTGAAACGGTGGTTCTGCAGGTAGCAAATCACTGCTCTTGTAGACGTTGGAAGAGAGGAACAATTATCTTTAGGTTTTCAGTGACATGTAATTACTTCATCCCACTCATCAATCAAAGACCCACCCTTTACAAACTGCCCGTTGTAAAGGTCGGGCTTAATTGATTAGGAGGGGGAGCGTCTCATGCTGTCCCACCTTCCCTCCTAAGCCAAGGGAATCGGCAATTAAAGATTCCGAGTGACCTTCATCAAGCCCCTCGATGGGCATGTCCCACGACAGATTCCCCCGAAGGGCTGAGGAGGCACCCGGCTCGCCGATCACGGCAGAGCCTCAGACCGAGCCGTCCCATCGCAGGTGGCAGCAGCGATGGGGACCCAGTGAATGGAACCCTTTTATAACACGCAGAGTGGAAATTTCCAGCGGACTTCCTACCTCTCGCTGATTCTGAAAACAGATGTGAGCTTGGGCAGAAACAGTCATTCCTCCGGCATTTTTTCTCTCTTAGTGATCAGATCCTATGAATCATGGTACGCTGACATTTCACACAGGCCAACAGACTTCAAAGGCCTTGCAGGGGGACAATTTTACCAGAAGAGCCCGCCCCCCGCCCTGCCAGTCCCGGAATTTCCAGTGACCCAGCAGTACTGAATGGTCGCTTTGTGCCAAAGGACGAGGCCCGAGATGACGTCACTTCCGATTTCCTGCATGAGCACGGAGCCCCGTATGGACCACACACCCCACTGGGGCAGCTTTGACAACTGAGCCGACCACCGCATCGCCGACGCTCGGAGCAGCCCCCGCAGAGATCGGGGATCCTGAACCACCACTGTCTCAGAGCGAAACAAGACCTCCATGCGGAGAAAGACCTTCAAACGGAGGGCAAGTCGACACTGGCATGAAAAACCTCGACTTGTGCCCTGGCCGGTTTGGCTCAGCGGTTAGAGCGTCGGCCTGCGGTCCAGAGAGACCCGGGTTCGGTTCCCGCTAAGGGCATGTACCTCGGTTGCAGTGTGTCCCCGGCCCTGGTTGGGTTGTGCGGGTGGCAGCCACTCGATGTGTCCCTTTCACGTCGATGTTTCTCTCTCTCTTTCTCCCTCCCACTCTATCTGAACAAAAAATGGAAAAATGTCCTCAGATGAGGATTAAAAAACACAAAACAAAACAAAAAACCTCGACTTGAGAAGCAAGCCTGATGCCAGGTCTGTGGTTCCCAGGGGGGCACTCTGCTCTCCTTCCTACCCTGTGCATGGGGGGCTCTTACATAGCCACACACACACACACACACACACTACTGGGTCTCTCCTGCACAAACTCCAGCGGTTCTCCTGGCTGCTCATACGACCCTCCTATAAATAATGATCCTACCAAGACCTATGACCCTGGCGGTCTCCTGATCTCAACACCAAACGACCAGCTGCTGCCTTGACATCTAGGGTGATGGCTTCTGTCACAGGCAGAGCGTCCGAACCTCACACGTTCAGGATCCTCCCACTGACACCCCTGGCCCCAGAAGGCTCCCGGATCCCGAGCCCCCTACCTTGTTCACGTGGGCACAATCTGTCCTCCCAGAAACACCTTTGACATCTCCCTCATCCCGACCACCTGTAACTGAGTCATTCCCCAGCACCCCACGTTCCCTGCCAGAGCCTCAGCCTGGACCACCAGAGCTAGGCTCTCCGAGGACCCCTTCCGACTAGGTCTCAATCAATCCTGGGCTTGGCCTTGGCCTCGTTGATCCAATTTTAGCAAGAATCCTGCTGGGTCAATTTTAAGAAAATCCTCCACCCTTGATATCCGATCAAATTTCTTATCCTCACCTGTCAAGTCCACTGAACCCAAACCCCCCTCACCACCACCGTTTCCTCTTAGACAGGCCCCACCCTCTGCCCCCCACCCTGATCCTTGGCTGTAAATTCCCACGTTTCCTGATTGTATCCAGAGGGGAGCCCACCGTGGTAAAACCCTCCCCGAATAAAGCCACCTGACCCTCTTTCACACGTATCGTGTCGTCTAAGACTATGGGAAAACACGTATTCCCGGTGGTCTTAGGAAGCAAGACACCGCTCCTCTGTCCGTCCCCAGGCGGGTCTGCCCACCTGCAGACACGCCCACAGACAAGGTGAGGACCTGCGTTACAGGGTCCCGGCATCAGGAAGGAGGAGAACCCCTGCTCTAGAGGGTGCTTGCCTTCTCCCAGAGCCCCGGAGCCTCGGCACCACCTCGAGGGCTCTTCTGTAATAAGACTTGGAGATACAGATGGATTTGAAGTGGGGTGAGGGACAGGAGACCAGTGTCTCCCTGCGTGGGCACTTTCCGGCAGCCTGGACATTAGCCCCTGGCCTCAGGGCCAGCAGGCACTTGGCTTCTGTGTCACTAAACTGCCAAGTGTCCACCGTGGAAGCACCCGATGAGGCCCATTTTGAGCTGAGCTAGTTCTGTGAAGAAGAGAACCAACCTGTCTACATCCAGGTCTCCTGGGGCAGCGGCTCCCAGAGCATCTGAGTGCCCGGGGGTGGGTGCAGGTGGCCACCGCGCTCCCGGGGCCCGCCATTCACACCACCAGGCGTGACCGCGTCCTCACCACAAGCCATCGCTGGGCTGTTTCTAGGGGACCAAGCTCAGCACCAGTCCCTGTTGAAGGGCCGGCTGTGAGCCATGCTTGGGGGCTCCAGCTAGGATTAACCGCGAAGGCTCCTTTCAGACCGTGCCAGTTACAGGAAGGAACGCGGGTCCCTGATATCTTCCATGTAGACAGGTGGAAACAGGTCATGAAAAGAGAAGCTGTACGTGTGTGTAGACTCACACACATACACACACATGTGTACATACATGCACACACGTAGTTCATATATACCGACTGACTTACAAAGTAAACCTAGAACGAGGATTAAAAATAAAATCTGTGACGAGAAAACATTCTTTTCAACTTCACTTTTGCCCGTCTCTACGTGGATACATTCTATCAACCCAGTAGGCTTATTTGTACGACCTAAATCCATATCATTTCCCTCCTGCAAGGGGGAGGGAGAGGAGTCTGTTTTCACACCACTCGTGTTCACAAACTTAATAAAAGCTCTGACCGGGACCATCTCACCTCGTGTCTCTTACGGTTTACTGGCTCTGAATTGAAGCTTCATATAAAATGACTTACGAATGCCCAGAGACCGCGCCCGTGTTTCAGTCGCGCCCACTCTGATCTGAGAAGGGGCCTCACTCGTCCCGTTCCTCCTCCCTGGTGTCCCCCCCCGCCGCGGCCCCTGCTGGCACTCAGCAATCCGAGGTAGTCCTGGCTCCGAAGGGGCCGCCCAAGGTGACCCCCATTTCTTTGGCATCGTGCACTTTGTCCAACGCTGCCCCAAAGCTGTGCGTTTAGACATTCCCGTGGGCTCTGGAGCCCGTCGGCGCCTCTGGCCACCGCCTCATATTTGGAGGCGGACGAGACTCAGACGCACATTAACGCAAACCGAGCAGAGAGGCCACAGAGGCGCGGAGGGGAGGCGGCGCCGGAGCCCGCTCCTTACCTGTGTTCGCCCGCCCTTCACCTCTGGCCCAGGCAGAGTGATCTTTAGCGGATGAGAGGAACCGACTGTGGATCTGGAAGATAAACAGAAACCTTCCCAGTCTTATATTTTTATTTGCCAGGTATATAATCTTCAATAAGTAATGTACATTATTATTTTTATAAAACCAACAAACAGCCCCAGAATCGCTCCCTTCTCCCCAGAAAGGGCTGTGTTGTAATGAATACGTATTCCCATGGCCCCTGGGTTCCCGCAGCCGGCACAGAAAGGGCAGCTTTCTGAGGCCTTTAAAATCCACAGCAAGGCAGGGAGGGGACCGTAATCCATGAACGCGGATTTTGCTGGTAGGTCAAAGAATCCCGTCCAAGGTTTCCTCTCTGCCCCCTCGAGTGCTGAATGGGTGTGGGGTTGAAACTGGACATTCAGGACATAATGACACATTGATTAACCACGAGCAACCGAATTCCAGAGTTAGCCCTCGGATGCCATGCTGGAGGGATACCGCCGAGCATCCTGCTGTCTGCCGGGGGGGGGGGGCTGCTCACTTTCTCTGCCAAGGGCAGAGGTCGGCTTCGTGGTGGGTTCTGAAAACAGTTTGCTGCGGGTGAAACTTTCAGTCCTGATGTTGGTTGTAGTCAGACTGCAGAGCACCCTGGCCCCCAAGCTCACCGTCACCCCGACACCCGTGACTCACTCCACAGAACCGTCTTCTGTCCCGCCCACCCACCCCTGTGGTAACCCTAGTGTCCTTTGAAGAGGCAACAGGTCACCCCTTAGTCCCAGGGCTAAGGTCAGCTTTTCGGTGTTCTGGTCCCCTTTGGGGCCCCTTCTCTTCTCCTGCATCTGGGCAACCAGTTTGGGGTGCCGAGGGAACGCTTCAAGCAGACCCTTCCTCTGTCTCAGACAGAAGCTGGCCTTCCCCCCACACCCCGGCTGAAGAGAGGAAACGAGGGTAGGACCCGGACTGTGGCGGGGCTGCCATGGGAGAATGAAATAGTTATACACCAGTTTTTTATCCTCACCTGAGGACATTTTTGCATTTATCCTCAGACAGAGCGGGAGGGAGAGAGGGAGGAAGAGAGAGAAACATCAACGTGAGATGCATCAAGTGGCTGCCACCCACACGACCCCAACCAGGGCCGGGGACAAACTGCAATCGAGGTAGGTGCCCTTCGCGGAACCGAACCCAGGACCGTCTGGTCTGTGGGCCGACACTCTAACTGCTGAGCCAAACCAGCCAGGGCAGTTATACAGCATTTTCGGCCGCTCTCCAGGCTTCTCTGCCCGGGGCCTAACTCGGCCACGGCCTATCAGTACAGGATTCTGAATGGTAATAAACACAAGCCCTGACAACTGATGAGGTTTCATGCGGGCACTGGTTGCGCTCAGTGCTTTCCATCCGTCACCTCACTGACCTCCCAGCTGTCAGAAGGGTGTGCTGGGCAGCCGGAAGCCGGCTGAGGTCACCCATGGGCGCGACACGGCCAGGATTCAGACCTGGGCGGTCAGACCCAAAGCGCCTGTGCTCCCAATATTGCTGCTGTTTTCACTACTACTGTTATGTGGCTCTGCGTGTCTCTGTGTACACAGCCAATCAACTTGTATGCATGATTTTCATCGGCCATAGGAAAGGCCGGGTCACTCAGGAAAACTTCTCAGGAAGGAAAGAATTACAGCAACAGTAGACACGGGGTGGAAAATAGCTCAAACCCCAAGTTCAGAAGAAGCTCGTTCCCTCTCCTCCACTTCGAACACAACCACGCGGGTGACCGGGAAGCTGGGTGCTTTGGAGGGGGGGTTGCAGGGAGCGTGTGATCCAGCAGAGACGCTAAGCTCCCTCTCTCCTGGGTTCTTGTCTTGTATGACTCTTTTAAGCACCATTTTTATGTGTGATTTCTAAAGTAACTCTCTCCAGTCTAGCGAGTCAATTAACCTGGGATGTGACTGCGCAGAATTAATTTTCAGCCAGCAAGCTCCCGGGGCGCGGCGCCATCCTGCATGGAGAGCCCAGCCCTGCGCACAGAAGCAAACCCTGCACGGGTTCTGAGGACGGGGTCTCTCTCTGGGGCCCTGCAACAGGCGGTCAACGGCAAGCTGACTAGGCCCCACCAGCTTCTGCGGAAGCCTGGGGCCGCCTGGTCCCGGTGCTGGGCTCTACTGACCCAAGAATTGCCAACAACAGGGTGATTCTGGCATCTCTGTCATCAACTGCCCAGGTCTCAGTCCAGCAGCGACATTCTGGAAAGATCCGGCTTTGGCTGGACTTTCTGCTCAGAGCTCTTTGCAAACCCTTCATGTAGAAGAGAAACACTTTTCATCGCCCCAAAGACGAAGTAGCAAAGGGCCCTGTGTGGTTTGTTCCTGCAATTGTCTGGGGCATCACTGGGCACATCTCTCTGGGCCACACACTCATGGGAGCTCCTCTCACGCCCTGAACGCACACACTCTCCCCACCACTGGGCCTTTGCACCTGCTGCTCTGTCTGCACAGCATGGGGTTCCCCTGCCCCCCTCTGGATCTCAGCTCCCAGGCCCTACTCATGTGAGCGTCTCTGCAGACACCACTCCCGGAATGAGGTCAGGATTCTGATGTACAAGCGCTTCCGGAGTGTTCCTTTCCCCCCGGAGGACTCCACATGCCTGGGTTTGTGGGTACACGTTGTGAGCCTACAGCTGAGGTCTGCTTCTCCCCTAGACTACAGCCCCTGTGAGAATCACGTTGTTTTTGCCTCGCTTGCTAATGGATTCCTAGCTCCTAAGATCGGCCTGGACAGAGCAGGCTTTCAAAAAATAGTTGATGAGAAAAACAGATGGCAGAATGAACGAATTCATTCATTCATTCGTTTATGAAAACACAGCTTTCTATCTAGGGCAGACGGATACGCCAGGACCTCAGAATCCACTCTCCTGTCCTCGGAGACCATGTGGCATCCCGGAAGCTGGTCCTCCCCGCCTTCAACTTTGCTGCCTCAGCGTTCTAACCGCTTCTAGCTCTTTCTTAACTGAAAAACAAAAAACTCCCCCCACACACGTGACCTTCTTCCTCTTCCCCTCTGGCTCTCAGAAAACCTTGGAGGAGAGGGCCCCCCACTCAGTCCTCCCTTCCCCGCAGGCTAGACCGGCCACTGTCCGCTACGGCACTGCCAGTCACTGTGCTCTCCAGGGTCCCCCAGTTTGTCACCACAGGTGTTCCCGCAAAGCACATCTGGTCACATCTCTCCCGGCTTAAAACCCTCAGATTTTTAACTGATTCAAAATGCAGCCAAAGCTATGTCCACGAAGACATTTTTGCAGTGGTTCCTAGTGGCAACGCAGCAGAAGTATCCCGGAGACAGAGCGTTAGGGCTGGATGCGGGGGTCCGAGCCGCCGCGTTAACGCGCTGGCCACCGTGAGCAGTACGCACAGTCCGGCCGCTGTCCGCACCTGGACACTGTGACCACGCGCCCCGGCGGCTGGGGAGGCTGCGCCACGGTGGGTGTAACGTCCTACGCACGGAAGCTCAGGTGCTTCTGGACACAAAGAGGGAGTGGCCGATGAGCAGGACGTGCAAAAGCTCCGTCCTGATGCGGGTGGGGGTCTCTGGAGCCTTGACTCATGAGCTGAAATCGGCGCTGCCCAGGTGAGAGGCAATGTTTGACAACTGTGTTTGTACCAAGTCTAGCACGTGACGTGTATTTGTGTGTGTTTCCATTTTTTTATTGTGGTAAAATATACATAACCCAAAATACACACTGCCTAGGTAGCTCTGTCAGCCAGGTATTATCTAATACCTTATACAGAAATTAACTCTGTCGTCCCGATGCACCAACGTGGCAGGTTTGATCCCTGGTCAGGGCACATCCAAGAATCAAGCAATGAATGCATAAATAAGTGGAACAACAAATCTCTCTCTCCCCCAATCTCTCTCTCAAGTCTCTAAAATTGATTAATAAAAAAATTTAGCATTGTAACCACTTTTAAGTGTACAGTTCAGTGGTGTTAAATGCATCCGTGAGGTTGTAGCTCATCACCATCTAAATCCATAATGCTTTTCATCTTGCAAAACTGAAACTCCATACCCATGAACAGTAATAACTCTCCCTTCCTGCCTCCCTGAGCCTGTGGCAACCAACAACCTACACTTTGTGGTTCTGACTACTCCAAGCACTTCATATAAGAAGACTCATGCAGTATCTGTCCCTTGTGATTGGCTTATCTCTTAACATAATGTCTTCAACTCTCGTCCATGTTGTACCCTATGCCAGAACATCCTTCCTTTTTAAGACTGCATAGGATTGTGTGTATCATCTACTCGTCGTCCATCGATACACTGTTGCATCACTTCCACACTTTGGCTATTGTGAATGACGCTGTACAAACACAAATGTACAACATCCCTTTGAGGTCCTGCTTTTCATTCTTTGGGGTATATACCCCGAAGTGGAATTGCTGGATCATATGGTAGTTCTATTTAATTTTTTGAGGAAACACTGTACTGTTTTCCACAGAGGATGTACGATTTTACATTTCCATCAACAGTAGAGAAGTGTTCTAATTTCTCCACATCCTCACCAATACTTATTTTCTGTTTTGTTTTGTTTTGTTTTTTTCATTCTTTTTTTTTAAATGAATTTAGAGACAGAGGAAGGGAGAGGGAGAGAGAGAAAGAGAGAGATAAAAACATCGATGGGAGAGAACATCGACTGGCCGCCTCCTATATGCCCCCCACTGGGATTTGGCCCACAACCTGGGCATGTGCCCTGACCAGGAATCGAACCAGTGACCTCTTGGTACAGGGTCGATGCTCAACCACTGAGCCACACTGGCCGGGCCTTATTTTCTGTTTTTTGATAGTAGCCATCCTAATGGGTATGAGATGGTATCTCATTATGGAGTTGATTTGCCTTTCCCTAATTACAGATGTGAAACATATTTTCATGTGCTCATTGGCCATTGTATGTCTTCTTTTGGAGAAATGCTGATTTGAATCCTTTGCCTATTTTCTATTTTTATTTATTTATTCTTGTGTTTTAGGAGTTTTACCTAGACTCTGATATTCATTCCTTAAGATTAACAACTGAATATTCATCCCTT